CTACTGTCAAATACGTAGGTTTTCTATTTCTGCAATTATGATATTGAAAATATGGCAAGTATTTTTATTAAAATAGGAATTATATATGTATGTATCTATTGATCTTCAGTGTAGTTTAATTATTATCATTTATATAGGATGTACAAGAAGAAAATTGAATAGATCTATTGATATGTTTATCAAGTCATTCTAAGTCATAATTCATTTCTTATTGATTTATGTAGATCTAATTGAAATGAATAGTTCTTTATTTTTCAAGCATTCTTTGATTTTTTTTTTCTTTTTTGCTTGTATTATATTATCATTAATAAGTATCATTTTATAAAAAATAAAGCTTATTGCTATATTTCATTGTTTAAATAAAATTTTTTTTAAATAAATTAATAATTAATGAACCAAGCCTTTATTATACATTCCACAAATATGACATTATAAATATTTGATTTTCTCTTAAATATATATATATAATATATTTATGTATAAGTTATGTATAAATATGTATGTATGTTATTTATATAATATAAATTGATTGTTTCAGTATCAAGAAGAACTTAGAGGCAACATTTCTTTATGGAAATAACAGTATATTTAATATTATATATACCTTATATATATCTTATATATATCTATTTTCACGTACCTAATCCTGAACTTTCGAATAACTTGGTCTTTTTTTCTCAGCTATACATAATTCGATCGAATTCTGATTATTCATTCACTTCTGAATTGTTAAACCCTCCCTCAGTAGCTGATCGTGTAATATAGTTTTCCTTATAATTTCCTTTAAGAAACTGTGAGGTTTAGTATGTATTATGATATTACATATATTAGAATCTAACATTTAAATAATGAGTTATATAATGAGAATTTAAAGACATAGTTTAGTATTGTACAAGTTATTATTAGTTCGCAATTCTTTTCTTCTAACTGTGGGTAGTTACATTTCAGAAAGATATATGATAAAAATATAAAGAATTAATTAATTTTTCCTTCTAATTTTCATATAAAAATATAATTAATGATTAATAATTTAGAAACATTGTTGAATTTAAAATAATAATTATTGTTTTATTAAAATAATTTTAAAAAAAATATATTTGTCAAAAGCAATGAAAAAATATTTGAGAATAAAATAGATATTTGTAATTTAATTAAATTAGATTCTAAATTTTAATTATCTAACATTTAAGTGTATTGTTTTTTAAAATACTTGTAGTGTACTAAAACTGACATAAATTCAGTGTTGAGAGATACATTCGGAAGCACTTTAGATTTAATGACATGAAATTTTACTAATTAGAGGTAACTTAATCTTGCTATTTCTAACATGAACAATTTTTCAGTTAAGTGTATAATGATGTTATTATTCACATATAACATGATGAAATTTTAGATATTTTATACAAAAAAAATTTCTTTATCTTTACTATTATAGAATTAATTATGCAATTTTTATAAACATAAGAGAAAATTATTCTATAAAATATATTTTTATAAAATAACTAATTTCTTTAAATTATATCAATTGAATGAAATATAAATTTTCTAATAGAAAATTCAATGATAATATTATCGTTTCCATCTTCATTATTAAACATAGGAATAAAAAAAATAGATTCATTTAAGAGAATAATCAATTGATATCCGGCAAATAAAAAAAATTTCACTTCCATCAAAGAAATTGATTAAAAAATCCAATTTGGGTTGAATATAAAATTATGTGAAAATTTAAAATATAGAATATGAAATAATAAAATATAAAATAAAATAAAAAGACATTTTTTAAGAAATACTTTTCTCATTCATATATTTGATTTTCATTTAATTTTTAATTTTCATACAAACAATTAAGAATATAGAAATAAAAAGAACATTAAATATCATTCAACAAGATTTAAACATCTTTCTGTTTTTACTCTATCATTTACAATTTATATGTTATCAATAATTTTGCAATAAAATAAATGACGATCACAATTCAAAACTTTGTGGATTATTTGCTTTTTTTCTTTTAAGAAATAAATTATATTCAATTGTAGCATGATTAATCAATTCTTTTATAATCATGTTCATTTAAGATTTCTCTGCGTAAGATTCACGCAAAAAATATAATTATATGTAAATTAAAATCATTTTTACGACATCATAATTTTTTTAACTCAAATGTTTGAATCAACTTATTTTAATGAAAAGAATCGATTAATGAAATTCCTGAACTAAAGTTAAGGCTATTTAAACCAATTAAGATTCAATGTAGCCAATTAAATGTAATGCCCGATACGTTTGTCGCCTACATAACGAAAGATTTAAATCCCACGTTAAATATTCGATTAAATTCGATTAAAGCATTTAAATACACTAAATTCTATAGAATTGGAAGTTAAACGATGACTATGAAATACAAATAAAAGAATAGATAATGTGTGCTATACTTGGGAAAAGGAATTCGTGATCACTGTTATTTTTTTTTTTTTTATGATGCAAAAATAATATAATTATTTAAAAAAACATATTATTATCTTAATTACTTAGAAAAAAATTTTTTAAGTATACAAAACTTTTTTTAAAGATTTTAAATGTTAGAACATTCATTAAAAACATTGAAAATATTAGAGTTTTTGTAATACAAAGCAAAACGCAAAATAATAGAACTTCTACAATACAACATTTGAACAGTAAAGCTTCTATGCTATTATTTTTTGAATGGATCAACTCAAATAGTTGAACCTCTGTTCATAAACATTCAAATGGAACTTTCAAACAGTAGGAAATTGAAATAGTAGAACTTTTACGTAATACATATTCAAAGGTTCTACTATTTCTACAAAGAGACTCATAAAATAAAGAAAGAACGAGCAATCGTTTCTCAAACATTATTTTAACAGTAAAACTTCTCATATACAGGACATTCAAAGTAGAACATCTGAATAATAGAATACTCAAATGATAAAACTTTTAAATAATTAAAAATTCAAATAGAACTTTTATATAATATATATTTAGATAACCAAAAATTCTGCTATTCCTATGAAAAAATTCGTAAAGCAAAGAATGAACAAAAAAACAGTCGTTCATAATTTCGATTCAGTACCGATTCTCACTATCGGGACAGGACAGGGGACAGAATGGTTATACCGAAATGGCCCTGCCCTACCCTATCCTGATCCGATAATGTAAATCGGGAACGACTTTCAAATGAGAAAAGTCCTTTTTCAGAGATGAAACGTCGATCTTAAATCCCACGATGCTTTCTTCTTCCAAATTCCAATCACAAGTAAGACCAATTCTCACTATCGGGACAGGACAGGGGACAAAATGTACCTGCCAAACGGCCCTGCCCTGCCCTATCCTGACCCAATAATGCGAACCGGGCATGATCCAGCTATCAGATTGTAATCGATTGGTTGGGATGAATGGATGATTTGCTGATCTCCGATCGATGATATTCGATTAACGAAGTTGAAAAATCGTGAAAGCGAGTTTGAAGATAAAAGGTAAATCGAAATGACAGGAGGAAAAAGTATTGCAGAATAATCTTCTATGAAGTATTTTTAAAGTGTTTCTAATCTTCTTGCCACTTTTTCAGGATTGACAAAATTTCTATTTCTCAAAATTATTTTTTTTATATCCAGATTTAAACATATTTTTAACTTTTATTTCTTGATTTAAAAGATGATTTTTTTATTTTTTCAATATAAAAAAATTTTTATCATTATTTAAAATTATGTATCAATTAACAATAAATTATTTGAATAATTAATCTTTAAAATAAAATTTTTAAATTTATTTAAAAAATATCTTTATTGTTAAATATTAATTATTTCCACTTGAAATAAAAATTGCTAAACTTTATATATGATGAAGCTTTTGTGAAATTTTAATTAGGACAACTCTGACAACATTACATCAAAAATTAAAAATTTTATTATTTTATAATTATTATTATTGTATTAATTTTATAAATGAATCTTAAATTTAAATTTAATAAATTAATAAATAAATGTATTTTTAATTTATTTAAAGTATTTTATAAAAAAATTAATTTTCATAGAAATTTTATTGCTTTTACATATTTATATTATTTATATATATTTTATTTTTTGTATTATGAACTGTATGTAACATTAAAACTGTAGGAATAATATGATAAAATTTTATTTTAATAATATAAGATGTATGCAAAAGCTTTTAAAAGCCGAGTAATTGCGATAAATGAAATATTCGTAATAAAACATCAAAGTTTGCTTAATATGATTTAAATCGTATTTAGCCATAATTAACTATTTCAATTTATTAAATGTGTCATGTTCTAGATACTCTCTCTCATAAACTTGGAAACGATTCAAGTTACATGAAGTTGAAAGATTCAATTTGCAGAAAAATTGATTTATGCTTTGGAATTAAATTATAAATTTAAAATTACAACATGATGATATCAACATGAAAGAGAATAAATGCAATAATGTTTAATAACATTTTTTTGGTGATATAAAAAAAAAGCTGATTTGAGTTTTAACTTATGTATTTAATAATATATTAAAATTTAGATTTTGTTTCTCAAGATAATCAGAGAGTATTAGAAATCATTATATATGAGAATATTATAAAATATTAAAAACCAAATGACATATTTTAGTATTTTGCTTATGTTTATAAAACTTAAGGAAAATCTTATGAAAATCTTCTGAATCTTCTGAATTTTTCAAATTTTATGAAATAGAAGCCAAGGAAAAAAAAATAGTATAGAAAAAAAATATTAGACAAATCTTTATAATTTTCTTCTATAAGTACAATATCAAAAAACAAAATATAAAAGAATTTTTATAGATTGGAAAAATTGCAAATAAAATATGCTAATCCATTATCTTAGTTTAATAAATTAAATATGTTCAATTGCTAAATAAAATAATGAGTGAATCTTCTATATAGCAAATAAAAGCAAACAGAATTAAAAGCCAAGCCCAAAAACTTATTTCTGAACAATCAATGAATTAGCTCACCAGTAGCCGAGCCTGATGACGATGATCTCGTTTGAGTAACTGCTCTCGCTTCCTGAAATTGCTTTACTCGAGCAATTCCACTAGGTAACAGTACATCATTCTTCGCCAAAGAACTAACAGACGACGAAGACTTCACCTCCACCTTCTTCATCTTCTCTTGAATGTCTTTAGCATCATTGTTCACTTCTAACTCATTTACCTTTTCTTGTTGATCTTGAGCCGGACATTTCTTCATTCTGACTTCTTTTGTTTTAATTCACAGAAAAGCAAATTTATAATTTGTATTTTATCAACATGAGATATTTTATAGTAGCGCATCGAATCTGAGAAAAACAAGAAAAATGTTATATTTGTTGTGTATTCTCACTTTTGAATTATTGCTGTGAATGAGAATCAAAATTCCTTTTATTAAAATTCGTTGTTAGTTTCAACTGAAATTTGTGTTTTTGTTAGTTATTGATAAAATATTTGCCTTAATAATTCTTTTCTTTCAATTATTTCACGTCTATAAAAATAATTGCAAAAAAATGTAAATAACAATAACAGTTAAAAATGTGTACATATGTAAGATTAAAATATATATATTAATAATAATAATTAATTGCACATAGTAGAATATTAATAAAATATTATAATAAATAATAAAATATTAAGATAAATGATAATAAAAGTCATTATTATGATTAATGATAATGATCAAATATAATCAATCAAATGATCAAAAATAATCTTGATTAAACATGATATCGTTCAAATAAAATTGTCTTTTAATGGTGATACTTAAACTGCCGGAAGTCTCTGCTCGTACACGCGGTTGCTGAACAAATAGAGTTTTAAAACGTTTTTAAATTTATCACAAAGCATATGTAATTTCTATCATAATCAAAAATATGAGAAAGTGAAACTCAAAATGAAAGTCGAAATATTCATATTATTTTTTCCTCAATTTTCTAATATAATGAAAATTTAAATTCCTTAAATAATTTGTATATTAAAAAATATTATATTTCTTTAGAAAATAGTATTCATAAAATGCTGTAATAATTTTTTGTATTATTTATAAATAAAAATAAAAGAATAAATAAAGAATACAAAATAGAATACAAAAAAATATAAAATAAATTATTTTTAAAAAAGTTTTTTTAAAATTTCTTCGCTATATCTATTTTTCAACACATATCACAAATTATTTTAATAAATGATGAAGTTTAAAAAGAATTTTATTTATATTTATATCGATGCAGCGAATTTCAAAATTTAAATAATTTTATTTATATAATAAATTTTATATAAACAAAAAGTATATTGCAAAAAAAAAATAAATAATAGAAATATAAAAATGAACAAAACAATCCAACGTTGGAATTGGTTCAATAAACTGATATCTGAAATACATTATGCGCTATTGAATAAATCTGTTAACAGAGAAGGAAAAAGATATAGAATAACAATAAAAAACTCGATATAATGTATAAAAAATAAAAATAGTAAAAGGAATAAAACCTACTGATTTATAGTAATATTTAATAATAATATTCTATAATATTCTTAAATATTATAAAATTGTTACTCAAATGATGATGTAATAATTTTAAAATGCAAATAAATTAAATAATTTTGAATCAATAAAGTAACTAAAAACATATATTGTAAATAATAATATATTGTAATTTACAATAAAGATTGTAAAAAAATTTAATTTTTTTTTTAATTAATATAACATTTTAGATGAATTATAATATTTAATGGAATAATGACTATTAATTTCGATGTAGAACTGATATGAAGGAATATATATATATATATATATATACATAAAGAAACATATCACAATGAAAAAGAAATATGTAGGAATGTTGATTTATTTTTCACGATTTTCTATTAATACTGATATTTTTTAATCATAGAAATTAATAACAAAGAATGACATGTATGAAATCAAATGTATTCAATCAAAACTGAAAAAAATATTCATTCCTATATTATGAAAATATATAATTATATATTAATAATAAAATTATAACCAAAGTTAATCATGAATGAAATGAGACGTAGAAACAGAATAGCTAATTCGAGGCGACACCCAAATCGTTTTTCAATCTCGAAATAATCTTAAAAATATTCTAATGGATCATTCGACGTACTTCAAAAATCTTGTTATACGATCAAAAAGAATAACTTAGAAATTGAGATATGTGGATAATCAACACGGACGTTTTCGTGAGACAATACCGCGGCGCGAAGCCGCACGCTCATGAGCTAACCTCAAAAAGACGATCAGCGATCGTGAACCGCATGTCAGAATAGAAGACGTAGAAGCCAGTCTTCATTACACTATAACGCTACGTTATTAACTCAGCACGAGACGCGGCTAATAATAAAATCACCAAGAATAATAAGCGTTCTTTGTCGAATGATAAGGAAGCAAGTGGCTACAAAGTGACATTCACCCTATCGTACACATACACTCGCGCGCGCGCGCGCACATTGACGCCATATTCTCACTCTTCTTCTACATTCGTGATGGATGAGCGATTGAGGTGCCATCTGAAGATCAAGGCGACGATTAGACAAATCAACGTTTGGAATTTTTCATGTCAAACGCGTGTTAAAGATTTTAGCAAAAGTAAAAAATAAAATGAAAATAAAGATAAAGAGCAAAAAATATTGTTAAGTTTGAAGAAATTTTTATTGGCTGAATTACAATTTATTATATAGTAAATAATACATAGTAATCTAGTACAATATATAGATAGTATATAACAAATCAAATTTAAAACATTATTTTGTATCAAATATATATTGATTTTTTTTATGTAGTTATTTTAACATATTTTTTAAAATTTTGTTGTAATTAATAGAATTAAAGATATTATTTAAAAAAAAAATGTGAATATTTGCAAATCAAATATATATATACGAAATTTATCATTCGTATTAAAAAAATATATAAAGATAAAATACTAAACTTTAAACTTATCATGTAAAGCTTTATGTTCTAAACTTTTTCTAAACTAATTTTATAAACTGATAAATGAAAGATATTAAAACAGTAAATAATGATAAATTAAAGTTTTATTAAATAAAATTTATTACATTGAACTTTAATGAAACATTGATAATCATAGATTTAAATTTAATTTCATTATCATAAAAATATTATTTTGAAAAAATAATATAACAATAGCAATATTCTTTATTTTCAAGAACAAAGCATTTATAATATAATATAAATGGTTATAAATATAATATAAAATAATATAAATGCTTATAATATAATATAAGTATACATAAAATAAATTAAATTTATCAAAATATTTGTTTTGTATGTTTATCAAAATGTTTAATAAGATTTATCTAATCTGATAAATTTATCAGAATTATTGTTATCATAAAGATTTCCTTCCCGCTACCTGGCAGCCATCTTATAGCCCATCCCTATTAAACATCTTTCCGGCATAAAAGGTTATAAGTCCCAGGCCGGCAAGCAACTATAGCGATTGCGCGAATCTTATATAGTTGGAACCGGTGAAGGTGTAAGCGTTGTCAGTCGACTACGTGTGTCGGAAAAAGCAACATCGTATTACGCGCAACATTGTGCTTTCGACAAATTGTGACTTAAATCGGTTTTTTTTTAGTGAAGTATCATATGATATCGAATTATTTATTAATCCAGCTTGTTCTTCTAGCTGATTCATGAAAATATAATTGTAAGTATATTATTTGTTATGCTTTCTATTTATTCAAATATTAACCAGTGTTCTATACATAATATTATAACTTATTATATACGATTAATGTCTGAAAAATTCTGAATTGTTTCATATATATATTTAAAATTTGTTTTTCAATCATAAATTTATCGTTGAAACGTCTAGACATTCAATCACCGTTATGTGAGTAACTTCGTGACTCTAGTCGATTGACCGTGCCCATTAAATGAACTCGTTTAATAAATCATCGCGATTAACAATATATCTAATTTTTCGAATGTTATTTATTAATGAATCAAAATCTTTTCTTTGCAAACGCGCGAATGACTTCAAAACTAAGAACTTTCAACCGGTAAAAAACATTCAATCGTAATCAATCGCCTGAAATGCGGAGTGAATTAATTTCCGGCTCGACGAACACTGTCAAACTCTTATGGTTTGGTAACTGGTAGCCTTGATGCGTAACATCTCAATTACATCATTATTAGTCTGACAGCGTGCTAAAATTGTTACGCTGTCGGTATTCATATACTTCAAAAGAATTTATTTAAATGTGACTGTGACTCCTGTGTACATTAATGTTCGTCTGTCCAGACGCTCGTAGTACGCCCGATTAATCGATAAACCGACCGGCGTTTCCCATAAAAACCTACGCGGCAAATTGACACAGTGAGATAATTTGTTACACAAGGTCAGTTCATTAATCGACATTAACAAAGTGATACATAAACATAGAAAAAGATAACAACTCAAATGATTCAATCGATTAATATGGATTCTATAGTATGTAATTGCAAGATGTTCTTTATTATAATGCAAGTTGCTCTTCAGTTTCGTGAAATTTAATAATTCTATTAAAATTAATTAATTATATTATAGAATATAATTATAGAATATAATTGATTCATATGGAATTATAATTGATTCAGAATCATTAATTCATACTGTTACGAATAATATTAACAAAATATACTAATCTTTTTCAATAACTATTAAACATTATAATTAAAAAGAAAACGTTTATAAACGTATAATTTATAATAAGTCTCTTGATTTTTTATTAATATAAAATCCATAAAATTCATTCGTAAAAATTTCTTTGTTTTTTTCTTCAAAAATTAATAATAGCATCTCTTTGAGTTCTTCGAAAATTTTATATCTAAAGTTTTATACTTTACATTTTTGGTGCGTCAAGTGCAAGTATTATGAACAAATTTTGTATTACTTAGAAATAATCATGTTGTATTTTGAAACATGAGCATACTGTCGAGCGATAAAAAATATACTTACGTTGATTATTATATCAATTTGTACAGTAACTATTATTGTTAATTATGTACGAAATACATAAATATAAATTATGATTTATATCTTATTTCTATTTTCAATTTTTTCTCTTTGTTTATAAAATTCATTACATAGAAGAAACAAAAAAACAAATGTAAATTAATTTTCAAAACTGATTAAAAGAAAAAAAATAACAGAATTTGTTATTTTTAAAAATGATTTAAAAATGATTTTCTGATATAAATTTTGTTTATTTAAATTTTGTTTATTATATATTATAAAATATAATATATATATATTTTAATATATATATATATATAAATATATATATATTATATATATATAAAATATATTATAAAATAATATATTATATATTATTTTTAATATATTTTTCTATTCCTCTCTAGGTATAAATATATTAATGATTAATTTAAAAATATATGTATCTTTAATATATATAAATTCATCATAAAAAAATTATGTTACAATATAATGTTACAATATATATAATTATGTATAATAATTAATTTTTTGTTTTATATGTATTAATTTCATATCTTTCTTTATTCTTTTTTAATTTTTTTTTTTTGTTCAATATTCAATTTAAATTATATTTATTAGAATATAATAATTCAGATAATATTTAATTTTTTGTAGATAAATGTCAACTAAACACAAAAATCAAAATAAAATGAAGACTCAAAGACAAGTATTGAATGCAATTCATCGGCTAATTGAATTCATAGCCAGAATGATATACATGTTTATTGCATTTTTAAAAGGTCCTGCAGAATCTCAACCACCTATAAAGGATTTAATACTTTTACACAGTGCAACTACTTTAGCTTTTAAAATTCGAAATAGACAGGTAAATTTGATTTTATCTTCTAATAATTAAATTTAAAAAAATTAAATCTGATAACTATTATTATAGATAACTATTATTATAGATCTTGTAAATTATTATTATAGATAATAAAATAAATTATAAATATTTCTAAAATAATATATTGAAATTAAAACTAATTACAATTTATATTTATTATTATTTATTATTTATATGTATTAATAAATATTTATGCATTAAAATTTATATTTGCAGTTAATGTCAGAAGAAATAGTACAATCTTACATAGATAGGATAAAAGAAATTCAGCCAGTGTTAAATTGTATGGTGGAAGATCGCTTTGAGGATGCTCTCAAAGAAGCAAAAATATGTGATGAACTTTTGAAATCTCAGAATGCTCCATCTCCTCAAGTATTAGCTGAAAAGAAACCTTTCTTTGGTGTGCCTTTTACTACAAAAGTAATTTTTATTTATTATATTTTATAAAATATGACAAATATATCTTATAATAACATCTTATAAATATTAATATATATAACTTAAATTTTTTCTATCTTTTAGGATTGCATTGGAGTTGCTAACATGAAACAAACAGCTGGTTTAACTGTTCGTAAGAATATTGTTTCCAAATATGATGCAGAAGTGATCAGATTAATGAGAGATGCTGGAGCTATCCCTCTAGCAACCACAAATGTGTCAGAATTAGCCATGTGGTGGGAAACTTCCAATTGTTTATATGGAACTACAAAAAATCCTTATAATACTAGACATATTGTTGGTGGATCCTCTGGTGGTGAAGGTTGTATACAAGCAGCAGCTGGTTCACCATTAGGAATAGGATCGGATATTGGTGGATCTATTCGTATACCGAGCTATTTCAATGGAATTTTCGGACATAAACCTTCTACAGGAATAGTTTCAAATGATGGTCAATATCCGAGTGCACAAAGCGAAGATCAAAAACGGTTACTCGCAATTGGTCCTATGTGCAGATATGCACAAGATTTATCGCCTATTTTAAAAATTCTGGCAGATAAAAATGCGGATATATTACGTTTAAATGAAAAAGTAGATATCTCGAAACTCAAGGTATAAATCGTTTGCTTAAATTGTTATGAATAATTGTATGAATAATTGTATGAATAATATATAAGTATTTATTTTAATTTATTTTAATTTAGTTCTATTATATGGAAGACGACGGTGGTCAACTCTTAACATCTCCAGTTGAACTAGAAATAAAAGAAGCAATGAGGAAAGTGATTCGATATCTAGAAAAAGCTTATAAAGTCAAAGTGACTAAACTCAATATTAGAAAATTAAAAAAGAGTACTGCATTATGGATGGCAAATATGAGTTGTAAAGATGAGAAAGATTTCACATATGAATTATCAAATAGAAATGGTCATATAAACTTATGGTGGGAATTTTTGAAATGGACAATATTCATGAGTAATCATACATTAATAGCTCTTCTTACTGCTACATTTGAAAGATTTGCGGTGAAGCATGGAAGCGACCAACACACTAAACTGATACAAGAAAGTAGAGAACTTTATCGAGAATTTCAGGTATAATCTCATAATTATCAATAATTATTTATATTTATAAACTATAAAAATGATGTCTAACAAACTGTTGATGCAATATTATATACATTGATAAGTACTTGTAATATAACTCATCAGGATTGGAATTGGCTCCTACCTTCTTCGTCTTCTTTTCTTACTATTGCATTGCGGAAC